ACGTGCTCCCTTTTCGGCACCCGGTGCCAAAAAGATTCTCCATCACTGCAATAGGATGTGTATTTTCCAAAGCCTTTTATAGCCCATTTTATGAAACGTTCTTTAAGAAATTACTAATAAAATAAAAACAGCACTGGGAAAGACATCAGCATAATTAGGACAGGCATCAATGTAGCCTGAACAATCTGTTTTTTTTCTGACAGTATTGCAACCACACTAGAGTAAACTGCTTTTTAAAAACAGAATTTCCCCTCTGATCCATTGTTTCTCAACCATGGCAGCTTTTTTAAGATATGTGGAATTCAATTCCTAGAATTCCCCAGCCAGCCAATTCTGGGAGTTGGAAGTCCACACATCTTAAAAATTGCCGGGGCTATCTTATCTGGAAAAAAGTGATTGAAGACGAATAAATCTGCAGTCAGAATGGGTAGCTTGAAAAACCCAAGGCCGAAAAAAGTAGGCATCTCATTCAAACTTGTTTTGAGGGTTCTCTTGCAATGGAAATCTGAAACAATTCCATGTTCCTTCATGTTTTGATTAGGACCACCAGAAAGGATGATAGACACCGTGGAGTTACCTATACAACTTACAGAAAGCTAGCTAAGGTATTAGCATTCCTCAAGGTGTGCTTCCATAATTTAAAAATAACTAAAATAACCCTGGGCCAATTACTTTGCAGGCTATGTAGTAGAACTGGGCATGGATTAATGTGCTAATTTATGGTTCAGGGAGAAGGGAGGGAGAGAGAATGAAAAGAAAGAAACAAACACTGGAATTTGGGACACTTCAAACATTCCAGTGGTGCTTGGAACATAGCATTTTATGTCACATGCTCCATACCTAAGCTAATCCCACAAGAGGAACATTGTCAGCATGCAGCACGTCCATCGCAATTTTTCTAGGACAGGATTTTATACCACAAATGCTAATTCGGTTCATTCCATTATTGTTTCAGGCAATTTAAATTGTGAAATCTGTGCTATGGTGAGAGGAGGTTTAGTAGGAGCTGTCGTGGGCTTTTTCTACCCAGTCATTCTAGCGCTGCCTCTGAATGGATTGCTGGCTACAAGGTATGTTTCAACCGCATTAAGCCCTCTCTTAGCATTTTATTTGCTGGAACCAAGATTGTGTTTTGTTTGTATTTGGAGATTGCTGTTTTATTGTTTATTAATCATTTACTTGAAAATCAAATGTCTACAAAACTCTGTGCTTTCAGTCTTATAAACGTCTATACTTCTGGGCATAATTCCAAAAATCCTACCATGTTTCCCTGAAAATAAAACCGGGTCTTATTAATTTTTGCTCCCCCCCCCTCCCGCATTAGGGTTTATTTTCCAGCGATATCTTATTTTGGGGAAAATATGATGCTAAAATGTGTCCGTCTGGCTGATAATCTTAATGGGCTTATTTTGGGAGTAGGGCTTATATTACGAGCATCCTGAAAAATCATGCTAGGGCTTATTTTCTTATTTTGGGTCTTATTTTGGGGGGAAAGGGTATTTATCCATTGCTTCTGTTTGGTGAGATATTCTGTTTTCATATATAAGCATTCATTGATGATCTTTCACTGTTGGAACTACGTGGGTAACAAAAGCATTGGGATGTAAGCCTGAATTCAATGTAATTATCCAACATGATCCTGTCGATTGTAGGATTCTGTAACTTCTCATTTTAAGTACTAAATTATTTTCTCAATTAAAATGTTTTTCCTCAACTTTATGGGTAGCCCTTGGCTCAGGATGGCAGCTGGCAACGGCAATTTTCATAGTCCTCGCTGTTGCTGTTAAGGAAAACTGCAATTCATTAAGCAGCTTCCAATTCCCTACTTGTGAGAAGCCAGCAGAAAACGTCAAAAATCATGATCACATGACCATGGGACATTACAACGTTGTAATCTTAAACTGGGGACCAATCACATGGCCATGGGGATGCTGCGATAGCCAGAACTTGAAGACCTGTGATAAGTCCCCTAATTCAGCACCAATGTAACTTCGAATGGTCGCTGAACAAGTGGTCATAAAACAAGGACCACCTGTAGGAAGAGGGAGAATGTAATGAATTAACATTACAATTAAAGCCCATTATTGCAAAAAGCTTTACATCTAAATCTATATCCTTCTTTATACAGGTAGTCCTCAACCTACGACCACAATTGAGCCCAAAACGGCCATTGCTAAGCAAGTCAGTTGTTAAGTGAGTTTTGCCCCCATTTCACGATCTTTCTTGCCACAGTCGTTAAGTGAATCGTTGCAGTTCCTAAGCTAGTATTATCTTTGTAAATTAAATTTGGCTTCCCCGTTGACTTTGTGTGTCCGAAGGTCGCGAAAGGGGATCTACTTGACCCCATGAGCCAGTTGCCAATTTTGATCACGTGACCACAGGGATGCCACAACTAAGTGTGAAAAATGGTCATATGTCACTTTTTTCAATTCCGTTGTAACTTCAAAGGGTCACTATATGAATGCATGTAAGTCGAGGTCTACCAGTATCCTCCTTTGAGCCAAATTATGCAGGGATGGGAAAATTTTAGAAAGAAACTGTCAGCAATTTATTTCCTTCTCAGCAGTAGAATCTATTTGAAACTGGGAAATGGGTCCTTTTTAACAAAGCTGTTAATTCGCAATCGCAATCTTAGCCAAACTCTTCTTCATAACCTTTCCTCTCCCTTCTAGATACTATACTGCTCCCTTGCCAAACAAAGAAAATGCAGTGCGATTCTGGGTCATGCTTAGCAAACCGGTTTTCAAGAAGATGAGATTTGCTGCTTTCATCCAAGTTGCTTTTGGCGCGTACCTTGGCTCAAGACACCACGATATATATCTCAAAATGATCCGCATGCCTCAACCTGGAAGGGATCCCGAGGAAATCGGAGAATAAAACTTTTAAAAGGTGTTTAGCTTTTATTTCTTGCCAGGTTTGGATAACTTCTGAAAGTTCTAGTCTGGTTTGAGTCATTTGTATCAACTTTGTGAAAATTGAAACACACACATACATCTTGTGCTGTATGCAACAAAATTGGGTGAATGAGAAAAGCAACAACTAAATTTTTGGGAAGGGAAGTAAAGAGGTACTGTTGAAAAAGAAGCAGTGTATAGATATACTTATGTAAGTTTATAAATGTGCTTATCTATATATGTACAAAGCAACAAATGCATCCAATATATAGTTCCTGGAGAACATGAAAAGCATTGAGCAATATTTCTAGTAACCCACAAGTATTTCTCGGTTATTTCCACAATCCAAAACAAAATGGAGGGCAATTTCATGCAGGACTTCCATCTATAACTCAACCTACCCAGTGGGGAAAAAATGGTAACATAGCTAACAACACAGGCTTAACAACCAGTTGCTTAACAAGAGCTCGAAGTTACAACAGACCTCCCCAGAGCTACTTGCAACTCATTTTCGAAATCCCAGTAGCTATACTCAGCTGTACTAAAGATAAAGGTATCCCCTCTCCAGCTGTGTCCAATGCTGGGGGCAGTGCATATCTCAAGTTTCTTTGCCTAGGGAGTCAGCATTGTCCAAAGATGTTTCTGTGGTCTTGTGGCCAGCATGACTATGCCAAGACGCACAGTAGGCTGTTATCTTCTCAGCAAAGTGGTATCTAATTATCTTCCGTTTGCCTCGCTTCGGGCCTACTACGTAAGCAGGGGCTGGGCTAAGTAATGGAAGCTCACCCCATCATGCGGAGCTTGGCTCTCGAACCCGGGCTGTCAGCTTTCCAGCTGACAAGCTCAGCATCTTTAACCACTGAGCCATTCCCCCCACCCAATACACCTCTATGGTCAAGTAAACTGCATTTTGAGCAGCTGGCTCACCTTTACAACAATTTGCAGTGTCCTGCGGTCCCATGACAGCAATTTGTGCTTACTTCCAGTTTCGGAGGGGGGGGGACCCATTGGGAGAACAGATTTGCTCAACCATCATAAAAAATGGTCACAAAATCAGATCCGGTCACGTAAGGCTTCAACCTATGAACCACAACAATTTACGGCTGTAATTCTGGACTCTATTATGATTCTCCCTTGAGGGCTACCTGTAGGGGAACTAAGTCATACAGCTGGGACTTTCGTCAGAAATACTTGTGTGCAAGAAACGTTTTAGATAATCTCCCAAGTCAGAATTCTTTCCTTAAGCAAATCACTTGTTTAAGAATTATAAGTCTAGCTTCAAATTTGCTGGGATGTACCTATTTCCAAGTTCAAATATCCATATTATTATGCAAAGAACAAGCAAGATGTTAAATCTGTTTAGTGGCCAACCCAGTATTCAAAGTACTGCTTGCCCACCTTCCCAGTAAGTACTTCATCTATCCCCATAGGCCCCCATGTTTGCTAGTTGCCCCTATTCACTCATTACTGCACCTACTTGCTCTATCAACTATGTGTTTGGATAACATACTTGTATCTACTAAAATGTACAACAGAGTATAGCATGTTCTAATTCTCGAAAGATGTGCTGTCGTCAAATGGAATTATCCCACAGGGGCAAGTGTTCACTAAAGGCCTCAAGTACCTAAATTAACTATTGCCGAGAGATACATCCTCACTAAATATGAGTCATGTCCTCAGGATCTTTTTCAGCATGTCCAGGGCTAATGATGGAGTAGAAATTTTAACTGCAGCTAAGACCCACGTGACTGTTGAGAAATCAGGACTGCATGAAGGAAATTGTTAACACTGGTATCAGGGCGAGATTTTCAACTGTTTTGCAAATCTGAAGCTTTCTCTAAAGTTGAAGAATTGAGACCCTCTGAAGCAAACTGGCCCCCAATCAAATAGCAGACCAAACCCAATCATATCACTGCTAGCTTTTAGTGCTGCTGTACAGGTAGTGTTCGCGTTATGACCCACAGTTGAGCCCAAAATTTTATTGCTGCCAAATGAAACGTTTGTTAAGCGAAATTGCCCTGTTTTACTAGTTTTCTTGCTGCAGTTGTTAAAGTGAAATAACTGCAGCTGTTAAGTTAATAACATGGTAATTTAAATAAACCTGGCTTCCCCATTGAGTTTGCTTGTCAGGAAGCAAAAGATCACATGACCTTGGGACATAGTAACAATCATAAATGAGCCAGTTGGCAAGGACCTAAATGTGATCATGTGACCAAGGTGTGACATAGATGAAGTCTCTTTTCAGGTTCCACCACAAACTAAACCGCGTAGCTGACGTCATCAACAGGGCGACAACAGCGCGGAGAGAGAAGCACGCTGTAAACCCTAAACCTAACCCTTAACCTAACCCTAAACCTAATCCTAACCCTTAACGTAACCCTACACCTAACCCTAACCCTTAACCTAAACCTAACCCTAAACCTAACCCTTAACCTAACCCTAAACCTAATCCTAACCCTTAACGTAACCCTACAC